ATTAAAACTACTTGTTTTGATAGATGAAATTTAAATTGCATTGATTTTAATGGAAAAAAGTAATTCCTGAAATAATTTCTAAAGGAATATGCAACAAAGCACATTAGAATTCATTAAAAAGTACTGGTTTTGACAGTTAAAACAGAAATTGTGTTGGTTTTAATGGAAACCACATTGGACATTTTAGTATTTACTGGTCTCTGCAATTTCACCCAATGAAATAAGCAACAAAACAAATCGGAATACATTAAAAAGTACCAGTTTCAATTGTTAAAATGGAAATTGTATTGTTTCTGATTAAAATAATGATGGTCATTTGGGTCTCTACAATAATTCCTAATGAAATATGTAACAAAACGCATTAGATAACATGAAAATGTACTCGTTTCGATGGTTAAAGTGAAACCTGCATTGGTTTCAATGAAAATCATAATGATCATTTGGGTCTTTACTGGTCTCTACAATAATTTCTATTGGAATATGTAACAAAAATCTCAAAGTAGGGGAGAAAGTGTATTTGCCATAGCAGGACCTCGCCTCTGGAACACGCTGCTGTTAGAACTAAAAAAAGGCTTCGGCAGTGGCACTGCCAGTTTTTAAGTCTAATTTAAAGACTTTTATTTTCTAGGTCTCTTCTAGCATAAGTCCATCCCTTCAGGGGTTGAGGGCGGGGTCAAACTGTCTTGTTCATAATCTTCTCAGTGTGGTTAACTGTGGTAGTATCTTATTAATTAGGCAAATTTCACACCTTTTATGCTCTCTCATATCATATGCTTATTGCTGTTATTGCTTATTATGCCCATACTGTTTGTTCATTTTTTCTCTGTAAAGCACTTTGTGTAGCCTTGTGACAGTTGGAAACGTGCTATACAAATAAATTGAACTTGAAAAGACATTAGAATCTACTAAAAAGTACTGGTTTCGATTGTTAAAATGGAAATAGTATTGGTTTTAAAATGGAAACCAGGATGGTCATTTGGGTCTCTACAATAATTCCCGATGGAATATGTAACAAAACGCAACGGAAACCATTAAAATGTACTAGTTTTGATGGATAACGTGAAAACTGAATTGGTTTTAACGGAAACTATACTGGCCATTTGGGTCTTTACTGGTCTCTACAATAATTCTCAATAGAATATGCAACAAAAAATATCAGAACTTATTAAAAAGTACTGGTGTTGATAGAAGCAATTTAAATTGTATTGGTTTCGATGGAAACCATAATGGTAATTTGGGTCTTTACTGGTCTTTACAATAATTCCCAATGGAATAAACAAAAACACATCATAATACATTAAAAAGTACTGGTTTTGATCGTTTAATCTAAAAATATTCTAGATTTAAATGAAAACTATGATGATCATTTGGGTTTCTAGAATAATTCACAATGGAATAAACAAAAACACATCAGAATACATTAAAAAGTACTGGTTTTGATTGTTAAATCTAAAAATATTATTGATTTAAATGAAAACTATGATGATCATTTGGGTTTCTACAATAATTCCCAATGGAATGTGCAACAAAACACATTAGAAACCATTAACATGTAATCGTTTTGATGGTTAAAGTGGAAACCATAATGGTCCTTTGGATCTCTATTGGACTCTACCTTAAATCCTAATGGAATATGTCACAACACACACTAGAAAGTATTACAATTGTATTGGTTTTGGTGAATAAAATGTGATTGATCTGTGATTAACAGGTATAGCTACATATACTGTCATCAATATGGCATATGCTCACATGAAAAAAAAACAAATTCAATTACTTTAATGAAGAGTAGATATTGTAATTATTGTATATGCATTAAGTGTGCGTTTATTTAACACAGAAAAGGTTTGATTTGCATATAAATGACCCACAAAAAACAACTAGGAGGACTGTATTATGCATGCCAAGCCAGTAGTTGGTGATTTCAATTTGTAAAGAAACTACATCCCTGTAATCCACCATTGTTGTTTTGGTTGTACATGCGCATGCCTATAGACTGATGTATGAACATAATGCTTAAAAAGGTTTTACAAGTCGCACAAAGATGATACTGAAACAACTTTCTGAAATCCATTTGCATGTTGTTGTGTAAAAGAATTGCCAAAAGGGATTTTTTTTAGCTGAAAACAGCAGTTATATCTGAAAACAACTCACTGCTTTATTCTGATCAATTGCTATTGTCATTCACACCATCTGTGTGGAAATTTTGTGATATTTTTGCTTTCTAGCAAGGAAGCAACACGTAGGAAAATTGTGCAATATGACATTATACAATGTCAAGATCTAGCTTGATCTAGATGATGACTTTAGCAGTTATTTCCACTAAACAAGACTGGAAACTTTATAATGAACATCTCTTTTTTTGTATAGATTTTAAAACATTAGTTTTTTTATTATTATAGTCTATTTATGTGCATATCCAAGCAGTTTTTAAAAAGTATAAAACAAAATGGTCATCTTTTTTGTGGAGAACTGCATTTTTTTGTGTGTGATTTAGTATGGCAGCCACTGTAATGCAACCTGTCTTGATTAAGATTGACATTTTCTATTGGATTATTAAGATTTGAATAATGAACTCTCTACACTTGAGTTATTTGAGTAACTGGAAACTGTGTGGTACAACAAAAATCCGCCAATGGAGGCAAATTCACCAAATGTATGCAGTCATCTTCAACTAAAAGAAGCATCTTGAGTTTCTCGAAGATCTTAGGGGACGTCCCTTCAACAGGGGTCGATGAGTTTGAAATGATGTGGCAGGAAATCACAGGCGTGACTTGTGTCTTTACTAATTGTTCACCAAACAACTTATCATGCCTATTGCTTTAGTTATGGATCATTTTAGGAAAGCTTTCTTTTTTTATGGGTAGGAATGTTTGATAGCTGCCAACATTTCTCAGATCTCCTGCAGATTAGAGGTGAACGTAACATGCCCAAACATTTTTAATGACTGACGGGGACAGGATTTCATGTTCAATAACCTCTGATATCAGGAAAAGGATATGTCAGCAGTCGTATTAAAAATATTGAGGGCCGGAGAAAGGTGCAGGAAATGAAACTTGCGATATGAGGAATAATGCTGTTTTCATTATAGCATCAGGCTTTTCTTAAAAACACCAGCATTTAGTCTCAGTCCTTTTAGCACTGGGTTGACTTTATAATTAACATTATATTTTGACTTGTCTTTCTGCAATCCTATGAAAGTCGTCATTGGATTTGTAGGAGTTTTTATGAATATATTAGAAAAACTGTATCTGTTTTAATGGAAAACATAATGGTTCTTTGGCTTTTTACTTGTAATTTATTCGTCTTTTATTGATGGCATGCCAAAAAACAATAAATCCTAAAGGAATATTACACATTGGAATTCATTAAAAAGTACTGGTTTTGATCATTAAAATGGAAATTGTATTGGTTTTAATGAAACTATAATGGTCATTTGGGTCTCTACAAGAATTCCCAATGGAATACGTAACAAAACATATTAGAATTCATTAAAAAGTACTGGTTTTAATTGCTAAAATGGAAATTGTATTGGATTTATTGGAAACCATAATGATTATTTGGGTCTCTTCTGGTCACTACAATAATTCACAGTGAAATATATAACAAAACCCAATAGAATTTATCAAAAATTACTGGTTCTGATAGTGTAAATGAAAATTGTTTTGTATTTAATGGAAACCATAATGATCATTTGGGTCTCTACAATAATTCCTAATGGAATATATAACAGAACACAATGGGATTAATTAAAAAGTACTGTTTTCGATTGTTAAAACAGAAATCGTATTGGTTTTAAATTGAAAGCATGATGGGTCATGATTGGTCAATGGATTACGTAAGAAAACACATTAGAAAACATTACCTACTGGTTTTGATGGTTAAAATGAAAACTGTATTAGATTTAATGTAAGCCATAATGGCCATTTAGGTCATTACTGGTCTCTACAATAATTCCAAAAGAAATATGTAACAAAACACATCAGAATTCATTAATAAGTACTGGCGTCCATCGTTAAAATGGAAATTGTTAAGTTTTAACCAGCATGGCCCACGCCAAATTTTAAGCTAGACTTAACTGTAGGGATGTAGGGATAAAAGTGATAGAAGAAGAGCAGTGGGATGAAAAGGAACAGGAGTAAGAGGATGTCTGGTAAACAGGAGGGTACAACCTGTATAATGTTCATAGTACATCCATCTGTAAATATCACCATAGTTTTTCTATAACTGCACTTAAACAGGTAAAACGTTTACCTGTATCCTGCACTTGCTGCTATTGCACTGCTGGTTAGACCTAAACTGCATATCGTTGCATTGTACTTGTACATGTGTAATGAAAATAATGTTGAATCTAATCTAATCTAAAAGCCCCGATTCAACTTACATGTAGGAGTAAAGAGGGTTATAGGATTGTGAATGGGAAGCGATTAATTGAAGGGAGAGAGGGTGGGTTTAAAAACCGAGAAGAACAGTGCTAGTGGGATGGTCTTCCTTAAATAAGTTTAAGGGAGTAGGTGATTGGTTAAGGAGACAAAGTGAGACTTGGTTCCGCCGCTGATCCTTTATTAACAAGTTAACTCCATTTAAATGATGGTGATTGGGGTCTCTACAATAATTCCCAATGGAATATGTAAGAAAACGCATGAAAACATTAAAATGTAATGGTTTTGATGGTTAAAGTGGAAACTGTATTGGTTTTAATGAAAGCCATAATTGTCCTTTGGGTCTCCATTGGTCTAAGATAATACCTAATGGAACTGGTCACAAAACATATTAAAAAGCATAACAAATATACTAGTTTTAATGGTTCAAATGTGATTGTTTCTTTTGTGTTAACAGTAGGCTATTTGTAGTGTAAACCTTTATAACTTCTGTGATGTTTTCTATAACTGCAAGAGGAATTATCACCTATAAACAAACCTAAGACATGTACAAACATCAAATACACATCCTTAATCAACAGAACCACCATTCCTCCTTTTATTATGATTTTTTTTTACCTGACAACATTTGGATGCTCAAAGGACTCGAGCTGCCTCAGCACCGCCACCTCGCGGATGGTGGACAGCGGCATTCCCTCTTCCTCAGTCTGCACCCGGACTCTTTTCAGGGCCACAAACCGGCCCCCGTTCTTCAAATCCCGAGCCTTGTACACCTTCCCATATGCACCTTCGCCGATCTCAGCCACCGGCTCATATTGCTGGGTCGAGCTCTCTTTGTCCATGTTTTTTTTTCACAGCGAGGATCTGCGGGGAATCCCGAAACGTGACGAGCGCGCGCGGATATTTCACAAAGGCATTATTGGGAGCGCGGCGCTGGCACGTGCACTGCCTGTAGAGCGCGAGCACAAAAGAGGCAGAGGTAAACACAAATGTGATCAGAGCTAAATCAAATCTTATCTAGGGCTTGAAGATAACGTACATAGTCCTTAAATCATAAATACAACATACACAAAGCTAACTCCGCCGCTTTTATGGCCAAATATCACAGATAGGCTTGTTAATATATCAACATCTGGAGTGCACAGTAATAAAGTGTGGGAGAATATGAGAAATGATGGTGTCCTGAAATCATTAAAAGGTCTTGTTAAAGCACACGTGCTTTCAGGCTTTGTATACTTCATACATTTTATATGACATGGAAAGCATCTTGGGCTAAAATGTCAAGTCAAGTGGTGCAACCACCTAGCAAAATTACTTGTGACACTATATATATATATATATATATATATATATATATATATATATATATATATATATATAGTATTTTAAATACAATTTTAGTCATGATTATGACTAATTTAGTTAACTTATTCAATATTTTTATTCAAAAAGACAATATAATCTGTTTATTATAAATTAATGACATTGACTCAATTATGATGGTCTGTTCTAGATCAGTGGGATCTACATGGGACCCTCTGTGACATCATTTCCTTTTTTTTTATAGCTTTTTTTGTAACAACAAAATGGCTTCCTGCAAAGTTGGTTAGACCACACTGACATTTAAATAAAATATTAATTCCCAACTTTAAACAACTGTAAATAAATCATACAGAATACAAAACATAAATAAAACAATATTTTACAGCTTCAGCACAGTTGTACCATTTTGTTGTAGTTGTTTATTATTTTATTTTAATAACCAAAATATTTCAAATTAAATATATTAGTATTTAAATTTAAACCTATGAAAATTTATAAAGACATTTGACAACAACCAAGTTAAAAGTTGTAATGTAAAGTGGTAATAAAAAGTCTTAAATGAGGATTTATTATTATTATTAGGCCTTATTATTTTCTAAATAACTCAACATATTCGCATGGTTAACCTATAGAGATTACAGGTATGTCAAAAATAGGCTTCCGACATCATAACTCTCTCAAAACCAACCGATAAAAATATAAAACATGCCCCACATTGTCAATAAAACCCAAACGGTTCAGAGTTTCCTACTGACAACCCCTGCTCCTCTTTGTGCCACACAGCCTTGAGCACGTGGTTGTCTACTGATTGCATTGTTTTAGCAGTGCGCATATCCATAAACGCAACCAAAAGCGCCCACATTATTCCCATCCACGTGAACGCGCAACTCTAACAACCCACGCAAAAAAACTGCAAAAACGCGTGAATGGTCAGTATAGTTACCCGGTTGGTGCTTATTCCGCCCGGAGAGTCGCGTCATTCATAAACTTCAGCAACTTTCCCTGCGTCTCCACACGCATCACAGCTCATGCAGCGTCCGCGCCACGGGCCACACAGGTAGTCGGATGGTGCACGCGCGAATAAGCCCCATCTCCGGCAGCACCAAACGGCACAGGGGATCAAGTGAAAGATCGTCCGATCAGCCCGTCTTGAGTAGAGCCGAATGCATGCATGCAAAATAAGCGAGTGATTTTCATCGATCCGCTCCCCCTGGAAGTTTTGCAGGAATACGCGGCGTGTGTGTGTGTGTGTGTGTTCGGTCCCCTCCTCGCTTTCCCACGCTGGCTGAATGTGGCTTGACCCCCTTCAGAGCAGTTTGACACAGAGCAGGAGCGTTTCCGCATTCCTCGTAGACTACAAAGACTCACCGCCTCCTCTTGCTTTCTCCCTGCCTGCTCGATCTGCACACCATTCATACTGCTTTTTTGTTTTTGTCTCGGTGTCAAAACGGGATCACACCGGGGGGATAGAAAGAGAGGGAGAGAGATAGAGCCGGGACGCGGAAGGTTATTGGATGTGAAGGCTTCTGCGAAAAGTTTTATGGAAATTAATAATAATCAATAAGTGCACTCATTGAATCGTGAGCGTCTCTTGTAAATATTAATGCAGCTTGTTCAAACTAGTTATTTAAAATGAGCTGAAACAACACAATTCTTGTCAATTTTTTGGCCAGTTTATTTGTTTTATGTTTATTCCACTTAAATTTGTAAACCATTAGGCCAACTTAACCGTTTTGTGTTGGGACAACATGAAGGAATTGTGTTAGTCCAGCTGCCTGGTTAGAGGATTTGTAGTTGCTTTAAGAGACGGAAATGTTGACAATAGAAGTAATCATCTGTGGTGGAAAGAGTACCATTACTTGCCTAAAATTTAGTGCAAGTATTAAAAGTACCTGTTGTAAATATTACTCAAAGTATGGGTAAAAAGTAGTCAAGTACTCAAGAGTACTGAGTATCCGCTTGTTAAGTGGTGACGTGTTACTGACGTATTTATACTGTTTCCGGGTCCAAGCCGCCACTCATTTGAGTGGAGAAATCATTCGTTTATGATCACATTTTATTCCTATCACACATGAAAGTTAATTGTATATAAAATCATAGTGTACATAACAATCTCTGGGCTTGCTGCATAACAAATACCAACATTTGAACAATTTATAAAAAATTCATCACTTTCTGTCTATCGGATATTAGGCATGGACATTTATACTGCGATCTTGATTTTCGAAAGCCTTAAATCGCTTTGTAAACGTTTATTATTACCATTTCATGAATCTCCCCATTCAGTTGGGGCCGGAAGCCGCTTCGCGTGACGCCACACTTAACAAGCGGACAGGGTATATGCTGAAGCATGTTAATAGGACTTTTAATTTGCCAGTAACCAGGGTTAATCGTTTCCGGTGAACTGTATGCCAATGCAAAATCTGCAATTTTAAGGTCTGTTTTCTTTAAAAATGAGCGATCTCCACTGCCTGAGTGATATCCGATGTAAAATGGGTTTCAGATTGTACAAGCACTGCATTAAATTACATTTTCCCAGACATGTCTTTATAATTTGAGCATTTATTTTACCCCAGTATATTCAATGGAGCTTCTGCGCTAGCCTGCTGATCCTGACGGGCAAGTGCGAGCAAACGGCTTTTTGTCTCGTTTTACGCTTGAGCAACTAAATGAATGCCAAAGTCTGTTTAACTGATTGTATTTGAATGACATTACAACATCGATGCTGTAAAAGAAATCGTATAAAATAGAAAAAAAATTCACAATTACAGATCACCGGACGTTTATCAGTATGAGAAACACACTAGCTCAGCACATACCCCGTTACGCTGTAAAAAGGTGATGTCATTTGTGGATGTGTGTAAACGTATAGAGGTAAAGTTGGTTTTATATTCGCACATTCGTTCATTTAGAAGTGTCTATGTTGTTTACCTTGTTACTCTGAATATTTGATCGGAATTAGCATGCAAGTGTGACTTCAAAACAACAGCAACACTATCTAATAACAATAATAATACATTTTATTTACAGGTGCCTTTCTAGCAACTCAAAGACACCGTACAATCAACAAAAATAATAAAACAACAAAAGAAATAATAAAATATACACAGCAATAGTGCAAATAAAATTAAGTATTAAAAGCCATCTTAAATAAGTGGGATTTGAGTTTTGATTTGAACAATGTAAGGGAGTCAATGTTTCTGATGGCAGGTTGATGGCATTTAATGCACTGCGAACAATGTTGTACTCATAGTCATTGGCTGCTAATATGATTTATAGAGGTAAAATTGGTTTTATATTCTCACATTCGTTCAGTGTCAACTCCCTTTATTATTTACCAAATAATCGGTCTGAAATGACCCGCAAGTGTGACTAGAAAACAACATTAGCACTGTTTATTTTACTGTTAACAATGCTGTACATTGATAGTCATTGGCTGCTAATATAATTTCCCTATTTAGAATTTGCAAAGAATACTTTTCTGAAATTACATTATTAAGAAGAAAGTCTGAATATCCGAATATAAAACCAACTTACCTCTATTGTAAACAACATTCTGTAGTGAATTTTTATTTCCTAGCAAGCACACAACATCATAAGACATTGATATTTGGTTAGATTTAGGTTGTGATGTCAGGTGACCAAAATTCCATGTCTAGTCAGCGGCTAGGGACAATGTTATTATAATCTCCAATAAACTGTAACATCATTAGATGTTGATTTTAGGTTGTGTTGGAAAGTGACAAACATCCAACATCGAGCCAACATCTAAAACCAACGTCATATTGACGTCAAATATAGGCATTTATTTTTCAGGTAGATGTCAGTGGTAATGTCCACACAACGTCAAGCTGTAACACCATTAGACGTTGATAATTGGTTGATTTTAGGTTGTTAGAAAGTGACCAAAATCCATCGTCGAGCCAACGGCATATTGACATCAAATTCTGACATTTATTCGTCAGGTATGGCAACCGAAATCCAACGTCTGATAGACGTCATAGTAGTAACGTCCACACAACATCCAGCTGTAACATCAATAGCTGTTGATATTTGGTTGATTTTAGGTTAGACCTAACAAAATGCAAAACAAATTTCCAAACAAAATGCAACGTCCCAATGGCGTTGGAGTACAACGTCAATCTGACACTGTGTTGACGTCTTGTGCCTGCTGGGTGTTTAAGGCCATTTCGGTCATCATCATACAGTAAACATCCATCTAAACAGTCTCTGCGTCAATGCATGTAAAGATTTTGGACACCTTCTTGAACACTTTGAATGCTTCCAAACATTTATAAATCGCCCATGTCTTGAAGTAGTTTATTATGATGCGATTCACGTAATATGTGCGATCTGATTGGACAGGAATCACTGGACTAATTTTTCTAATCCCCATAGACAAGAAAAGGTAGTGACTGCAGCTTAAAGGAAAATAGTGAAGTAAAAGTACTGATACACTAAGCATGCACATAAGGGAAAGTAAAAGTACACATGTTTAAAACTACTAAATAAATCACAATTCCTGAAAAAAACTACTCATTTGCAGTAGTTTGAGTATTTGTAATTAGTTACTTTACAGCACTGGTAATCATAAGTGTTTAAAGCTAATAGAAAGACTTTTAGTTTGTAGATTTAGAGGAGTTTCATTAGTGCTTTGAGTTTTGAGATAACCACCCTTTCAGAAGCACCCATGCTTTGAGTGATGGCAGCTTAATTAGCAAAAATCCAGTTCGTTGCTTTGCTTGGTGAGCAATAACTGTCCTAAATTAGTTCTGAGATCAGTGTCAATCAAATGAAATATGTTTAAAATATTCTTCATTTAGGATTACCTGATACATGATATTATCAAACCTTTGAATTTAAGTTAAATAAAAATACAAGTGAAGTTTCATAAACTAATTTCGAGAGGAGCACGTGATATGATTGTGCACCGCTGGCCACTCATCCGTAATCAGTAATAATCCAATCAGAATGATCCTAGCTTAGTATAAATGGATCACTTTCTCCTCATTGCACTTTGCTCCTTCATTTTGGAAGAATCCCCCCTTCCACCCCATCTCCTCCTTTTTCTCCCCTTCTAAAGGGGGAGCGATCGAGACCTACCTGATCTCGGTTCTCCTGATATGCTTCTAGACCGGGCGGGAGCCCTGGGCTCAAATATCTCCGAGCTCAGGGTTCTCTCCCGGGACAGCATGCCAAACCTGCTATAAGTGCCAAGCATATCTAAGTGGGAACTCTTGAAATGTATTTAAACTTATATTTGATAAAGTCATGTTGGGCCAACTCAACTGCATTTAATTGTGTAAATAGTGTTTTTTAGTAGGTGCTAAACAGATTTAGGCGATGCAGTGGCGCAGTGGGTAGTGCTGTCGCCTCACAGCAAGAAGGTCGCTAGTCTGAGCCTCGGCTGGGTCAGTTGGCGTTTCTGTGTGCAGTTTGCTTGTTCTCCCTGTGTTCGCGTGGGTTTCCTCCGGGTGCTCCGGTTTCCCCCACAGTCTAAAGACATGTGGTGCAGGTGAATTGGGTAGGCTAAATTGTCCATAGTGTATGAGTGTGAATGGATGTTTCTCAGAGACATCCGCTGCATGAAAACATGTGCTGTGGCGACCCCGGATTAATAAAGGGACTAAGCCAAAGAAAGAAAATGAATGATTGAATAAACAGATTTATTGGATGGAAATTATATTAAGTTCATCCAATGAGTTATTTTATTGAGTGTACTTGAAATGTGTCCGAACAAGAAAAGCCTTCTGTGAAACTCTCACGGGGCCTAAAAATCAGTATAAAAAGCAGTTAGTTACTTACTCTGAAAAAGCGAGTAAACCCGACATTTTTAATGAATTAAACATGACAAAATAGTGTCAGTGTTGCTTTAAATTACAATTTTGAAAGTAGCTTAAAGTTTTCTACCTGTAATAGTTTAAATGTGATAAAGCAATGCTGCTCATTTTTTTTAAGTAAAGTCAACTAATTGATTTTACAGTTTATCTTCTTTACTAAATCATGCATAAATAATCAATAAGTCCACTTCTTAAATCATGAGCGTCTCTTGTACTTGATATACTTGAAATATGTGTGAAAGAGTAACCTTGCTGTGGAATAAGAAGCTGAACTCACTGGAGCATCTAGAAATCCAGAATAGTATAAAAAGCAATAAGTTACTTTACTTTATAAACGTTTAAGTATCTCTGAACTGTTAAGTTCAATTTTTATAATTTACTTTTAATTTTAAAGCGGGTTTACTTAATTAATTTTTTTATTAAATTGCTTTCTTACAGTTTATCTTCTGTACTAAATAATGCATAAATAATCAATAAGTGCTTTCATTGAATCGTGAACATCTCTTTCCCTGATACACTTGAAATGTGTCAGTAAAAGAAAAGCTTGCTGTGGATTGAGA